GACCTGATTCCTGTTTGCCCGTTTCCTTCCCCTCGCGCAAAATGGCAACATGTGCACAATTGTAGGAAGCCATGACCGGTTTCCTGCCTTCGCCAGTCCCCATAGAGACGAATGGGGGAGGCGAGGAGGGGAAGGCTCTGGGAAATAGCAGAGGCCAACTGAGAAGATAATGGCTGACAGGGAAGATAAGGTTTTGAAGGGACCCTTGGCTGCTGTGTAAACAGGAAACAGGACCCGCGGGGGGAGGAGGAAGACGCCCCCCACATGGCACTTTCTTTTCCCACCCAGCTTTGCTTGGGATGCGCTGCAGGGTGCTAATATGGAGAAGCTGGAATGGGGAGCTCAGGACTTCCAAGACCCTCCCAGTCCCCCCCACACACACAGACACTCACATGGGGGGGGGCCTTGCAGAAATAGCCCCACGTCCCACTCCTTCCCAGCACCTCACTGCTGGAAGGTCTCCAACGGCAGGTCACTGTGCTATACAAAGGCTCATCGGGCTCTCGAAGAGCTGGGGGGATCCTGACGTGACTCCGGAGGGCGGTGGAGGAAGCCCAGGCTGCTTTGTGCTAGCTGACTGTTCGAAGGAGCCCAGGACTTCTTGGGGAGCATTAGATGTCCCATGCCTGGGGCAACAAGCCTCACCGGTGCATGCATGCATCCCTCCCTCTCTTCTCAGGGGCAACGTGTGAGGATGTGCTGGCCCCCTGTGCCAACAGCCCCTGCAAGAACGGGGGCGAGTGCCAAGAGTCGGAAGATTACAAGAGCTTCTCCTGCGTGTGCCCCTTGGGCTGGCAAGGTATGGGGAGCAACGCCAGCACCTCTGCCCCTGTCAGGGGGCAAGTGTCGGGAGGGTACAGGTGCCTCTTGGCTGGGAAGCTCTTTTGGGCTCAACCCCTGCCCTAGTCCTGTTCCCTACAGCTCAGAGAACATAAGAACAAGCCTGGGAGTGGGTCTAGTTGTTAGATTAGGGACGTGGGAATGTGTTCCTCCTCCCTGCCACTTACTGTGTGACCTCCTGACTCGGCCGCTCTGTGCTCCAGCCTGCGCCTTTCCCGTGGGGGTAATAACACAGGACACCCCTTCACACGGGTGTCTTGATGCTTGACCACGAGTGGGCCAGGGCCTCACCTGGCCTCAAGCAGCCTTGTCCAGTGGACTATGCCAGCAGAAGCTGCAGCCCAGTGTGCCAAGGGGGTTTGGCTCCCAGGATGGGAAAAATGCAGAAAAAGCACAACGGGGCTGAGACGGTCGTGAAGGTTTAGGGCCTTTCCAGAGAAGCGAGTCAGAGCACTTGGCAGCTGCACCCGTGGGAACAGGCGTCAGCTCGTGGTTCTGTGCGGTGTCCTTCAAGGACACGTTCAGTGCCGGAGGAAACGGGGGTTTCTAGCACTAAGGAGCCCGCACCCCTGTCTGTGCCATAGGCCAAACGTGCGAGATCGACATCAACGAGTGTGTGAAGAGCCCCTGCCGCAATGGCGCCACGTGCCAGAACACCAACGGGAGCTACCGCTGCCTCTGCAAGGCAGGCTACAGCGGCCGCAACTGCGACACCGACATCGATGACTGCAAGCCCAGTAAGAGCCGGGCTGGGGTGGCTGTACTTGGGCCGGTCGCTGTTTCCCATGGCCGCCGAAGTCCTTCCTGGCGTCTGGCATGGGCTGCGCTCAGCACAGCTGCTGCAATGCAGAGCGGTGGCAGGGATGCATCAGGGGGGGCTTCAGAGGGGCTCGGCTGGTCCTGTGTTGATCGGACAGGAAGGATTTAGGAGGAGGGAGCAGGTGGGGAGCGAGAGCAGGCGGCCGTTGCAATGTGCAGCTGCAAGGCAGAGCAGAGAGAGGAGATTTGCTTCACGGGGATCTCTTTGATGAGCCTGTGCGCCAGCAGCTCCTCCCGGGGGCAGCTGAGGTGGGAAATAATGTGGACATCATGGTGTTGGCCACTGTATCTAGATGTCCTTGAAGGAGGTCTAGCCGGTGTCCGGCGCCCAGGCTCAGTTCCCTCTGCTCTGCTCTGCACTGTGGGGCATCCTTTCCTTCCCTGCGAGGCCAGCCCCTGAGGAGGGTGCTCATCAGCAGAAGCTCCCTGCCTCGCTTGCGGCTCCGGGGCTGGGCTCCGCTGACCGCCGCGATGCCTTCTTCTGCGAGTGCCTGGCGGGCTTCCGGGGGCCCAAGTGCGAGGAGGACATCAACGAGTGCGCCAGCAACCCCTGCCGCAACGGCGCCAACTGCACCGACTGCGTCAACAGCTACACCTGCACCTGCCCCTCCGGCTTCAGCGGGATCCACTGTGAGAACAACACGCCCGATTGCACCGAGAGGTAATGGCCCGGGAGGGGACTAGACCCCCGCTGCCTCCAAGGGGTAGCAAGTGGACGTACCTGAAGGGCATGTATGTGGGGCCAGGGGGGGAAGACCCTCATGAGGACAGGAGACCAGGGGAGGGAAGTCTCTGTGAGTTTTAACTGGCTGCATCCCTGCAGAGATGCATCTGGGCCATTCAGATGGATCTCCCGATATTAGGAGCTGGAGGGCTTGGACCAGCATGGGTGGAAAAGTGGCTGGTGATTTCAGTAGCAAAGATCCCTCTGCCTTCAGTGGGATCTAGGCCTGGCCCAAGGGACTGGGCTGCCGTGTAAACAGCTTAGCACAGAACTTGGCTCTTCAGAGGGGATCCAGTCAATTGGGGGGTCTTGCATAACAGGAGCATCAGATCCATAGCAGCCCCATGCCCTGCTCTGGCATTAGCGGCTGTGCTCAGGAAGGGGCTCGGCTGCCTGGCGGTCGAAGCGGAGGACTCCTGGGTTTTGTTCCTGCTGGTGCTGCTGGTCTTGTGCAGCTGTGGGCTTGTCCCATGGGCTGTCTGGGCCCTCCACTTTCCCACGGCCCGGCGGGGTCTCACAAGAGAACCAGTTTCTGTGCATCAAGGGGCCGAGGGAGCTGGGATGCCAAGCAAGCAGGAGCAGTGGTTTATATGGAAGCCGTGTTTGGTCTCCCCCAGCTCCTGTTTCAACGGAGGAACCTGTGTGGACGGCATCAACACCTTCACCTGCGTGTGCCCGTCCGGCTTCACAGGCAGCTACTGCGAGCACGACATCAATGAGTGTGACTCCAGGCCCTGCCTGAACGGGGGCACCTGCCAGGACAGCTATGGGACGTACAAGTGCACTTGCCCGCAGGGCTACACCGGTCTCAACTGCCAGGTATGGAGCAGATGGCCTGTTAGCTCTGCGGGACCGGACCTGCATCCTGTCAGACCATTCCTACTAGCTAAGGATTTGTCCCTCTGTCCTGGGTTGCTGCAGCCCTACTCATTCCCCCTCTGGGGCTCCTTCCCTTCCAGAACCTGGTGCGCTGGTGTGACTCTTCGCCCTGCAAGAACGGGGGCAAGTGCTGGCAGACCAACAACCTGTACCGCTGCGAGTGCAACAGTGGCTGGACAGGCCTCTACTGCGATGTCCCCAGTGTGTCCTGTGAAGTGGCTGCCAAGCAGCAAGGTAACACCCGGCTTCACTGTTTGGTTTGAAGCAAGAGCCTCCTGGGGTCTTGTAAACGCTCAGATGTTTAGCATCCAATTGCCTAGGAATGGGGTGACCGTCACTCAGCCCCGGGTCTGGGGGAATGAGAGGCAGAGGTGGCTGTGCATTGGCTCTGTGCTTCCCCAATTGCCAGCTCAGCCTCTGGTGCAAGGTAGAGCAGCTTCAGGGCTGCTCTAAGTTATACCAACTCAATGTTTCCCCTCCCTGGATAGTGGCACTTGGGAGAAACAGCCCAAAGTGCTGCATCCTAAAGGACTGAGCTTTTTAACTCATGCTTTGTAGCCCAAAGGGTGTGTAACTCATGCTTCCATGTTTTGCTGATTGCCACAAGGGGCTGGGAAGAGATTATTTTCCCCTTCCCATTGCTGTGCACATTGTGGGGCAGGGGGGAGAGATTCACTTTCCTCAGAGGCCCTGGGTGTTGGCTGCAGCCTGGGATGGTGACGGGGCTGTGCCAGTGCTTCTGCTGGGACTTAAACCCAGAGGTTCCTGACTACAGGGTCTTGCCCCTTTGCTCAGGGTCAGGCCATATTTGGGATCAAGAAAGGATTTTGCCCCATGGTTGGATCAGTACAGACAGTTGGGGGGGTTGCCTTCCTATGTAGCATGGGACATGGCCCTCTTCCTTGGATTTCTCCAGCATATTTTAACCATCTTTGCAGCTGCAGGATGTTGGCCTCCATGATCCCCCTGCTTTACCTGTGGCAGGTTCAGGCATTATCTCTTGTGGTTGTGTCAGGGTTGACTGTGCAGTTTTGCTAAGAGGTTGGACAATGGGTTTGGACAGGGCTGCTCCTGCCCCAGGCAGGGGGATGGACCAGATGTGACCTCCAAAGGTGCCTTCCAGCCCGACTTCTCTGTGATCCGATGACTCCTGGCCCTGCTCTGTGCAAATGTGGCCTGGCGTTCCTGGAGTGGCTTGCGCCTCACTGTGAGCTCTCTGGCCTTGTGCTCTCGCAGGGATCGACGTGGCACACCTGTGCAGGAACTCTGGCCTCTGTGTGGACACGGGCAACACTCACTTCTGCCGCTGCCAGGCCGGCTACACGGGCAGCTACTGCGAGGAACAGGTGGACGAGTGCTCCCCAAACCCCTGCCAGAACGGAGCCACCTGCACTGACTACTTGGGAGGCTACTCCTGTGAGGTATGCTGCCTGACCAGGGAGGGTTACACCTGCTCTGGAAGGTATAGCGAGAGCAGAGACCTGGGGGACCGGAGTCCTGGGTTCAAGTCCTGCCTCTACGCTGGCACTGAGACATGGCCCTTCTCCATGCTGCTGCTCCTGCCATCAGGAAAATGGGTTCAGTGCATCACAAGATATTAGCAGAGTGTGCTGAGATCTGCAGGTGGAAATAGCAGCATCCATGCTACTCACTGCCTTTCTGTCTGACTCTTCCTGCCCTCTTTGTCTCACAGAGTTGACCACATCCTGTGGTTTGCTTAAGATGAAGCAGTTTGCAGCTGCTCTTGTCTTTAGCACTGAGGTGCAGGTATTGCTGCTGACGGTAGGGGAAGCTGCCCTTGGCCCGCGCATTGGGTGGTTTTAGGGAAAGCTGCCCTTGGCCCGTGCATTGGATGTTTTGGCCATAGCTCCCCGCGTAGCAGCTCAAGGGAAAGCAGGGATGTTCCTGTACCGCAGTGCCTGGCGCACTACAGGAGTCTTGAACCCCCACGTTCAGTATCAGAGTGGATATAACTGATGGCTTCCCTTGCTCTTCCCTGGTAGTGTGTTGCTGGCTATCATGGAGTTAACTGCTCAGAGGAGATCAATGAGTGCCTGTCTCACCCCTGCCAGAATGGAGGAACCTGCATCGATCTCATCAATACCTACAAATGCTCCTGCCCCAGAGGCACTCAAGGTAAATGAATTCCCCTGGCAGGAGGAAGCCATGCAGAGGGCAGATACCCTTGGTATCTGGTCGTTAGCATCTGCACGTACCCACTGCTCTGAAGGAAGAAGCAAATGCAGTAACAGGAGGCTGCATTGGCTCATTAACAGAGCCAGTGAGGACATGTAACCTTGGGGCCACTCTGCCAGGGGCTTTTGGGCCCTGGAGCTTACACGCCTGCTGTGCATCGGGTGGGATGTTGGCATGCAGCTTCTGGGCTTGCAGGCTGAGACCCCACCTGTGACTTGCCCGTTACTGTCTGACCACAACTGTGTTGCTCCCTGCCCCCTCTCTTTCCCCCCAGGGGTGCACTGTGAAATCAATATTGATGACTGCAGCCCGTTTTTCGATCCCGTCACCTTGGGGCCCAAGTGCTTCAACAACGGCAAGTGCACGGACAGGGTGGGCGGCTACAGCTGCATCTGCCCGCCCGGCTTCGTTGGGGAGCGCTGCGAAGGGGACGTCAACGAGTGCCTGTCCAACCCCTGCGACACGCGCGGCACCCAGAACTGCGTGCAGCGCGTCAACGATTACAAGTGCGAGTGCCGGCCGGGGTATGCAGGTGAGTGCACCCCCCTGCTCCCACCTCCCCTCCCTGCCAGGGAACAACGCTGATGTGAACGACACACCACACTCATGCTGGCTTTCTCTCTCCCTGCAGGGCGCCGCTGCGACACCGTGGTGGACGGCTGCAAGGGCAAGCCCTGCAGGAATGGTGGAACGTGTGCAGTTGCCAGTAACACCGGCCGTGGCTTCATTTGCAAATGCCCCCCTGTACGTACCCACTGCCCCCTGGATGGCATGGGACAGTGCTGGTGGGAGGGCAGATGGGATGAGCCCGTGGCCCCTTCAGGCTTCAAAGCTAGGAGGCCTGGTGTGGAACGTGGCCCTTGAAATAAATGCTCCAGAGGGAATCTGAAAGCCTCTGGCCAGTGGGCTGGATTTCAAGAACCGTATTGCAGCAGCGAGCAGTGATTCACTGGAGTGATCCCACTGTATTCAGTGGGACTCCTCATGTGAGCAGAGTGGCTGGCCAGTGTGAATTGAGGGGCTCACAGTCTGGCCTCAGATAGTGAGGGCACCAGGTGCTCTGATATCTAGGACTGAGGATGTGAGAGCTGTAATGATGGCAGAGGGAGAGGGACAGGGGTTGTTGCTGGCATCCCCTGGCAGGAGGAGTGCCCGCTACTATCCCTCTACAAGGTCAGGCAGATTTGTGGGGGGTGTCAAGGGAAAATGCCCTAGCGCTGTGACCTGCAAGGGCTTCCTCCACAGACTGGGAAAACACCATGAGTTTGACTCTTTAATGCTGCTCGAGTGATCCTCTAGGAGGGACTGCCTGCTGCAGGTCATGGTGGAGGAGTGGCTGGTCACTGAGCAGCTACCATTTCAGTACATGTGCAGAGGCTGCACCTTCGGCTTGCTGTGGTTTGAGTTGTTCAGAGCCAAATTCCCAGTTAACTTTCAGTGGACCCTGTGCACCCGGGCTCCCGTACACTCCTGAGCCTCATGGCCATGTGGGACAATCGCAGCTCCAGGGTCGCACTCACGAGGAGGGGAGCATTTGGCATCTGCTGCAGAGCTGGGGGGCAGAGCAGTGCATTGAGTCACTGCCCTTCTGCTTACGCTGTGCATCCGTCCTGCCCAACACTGCAGGCCCAGCCAGTGCGCCGCCAGGAACACTAACCTTCTCCCCCTTGCTCTGGTCCCCCCAGGGTTTCGTCGGGGCCACCTGTGAAAATGATGCGCGCACCTGCGGGAACCTGCACTGCCTGAACGGTGGCACCTGCATCTCCATCCACAAGAGCTCCAAGTGCATGTGTGCACCGGCCTTCACGGGGCCGGAGTGCCAGTACCCGGCCAGCAGCCCTTGCATTTCAAACCCCTGCTACAACGGGGGCACCTGCCAGTTCTTCAGTGAGGCGGCCCCCTACTACCAGTGCAGCTGTCCCGCCAACTTCAATGGCCTCAACTGCCACATCCTCGATTTCGACTTCCCGGGTGGGGTGGGCCAGGACATCATCCCACCCAAGATTGAGGAGAAATGCGAGATCCCTGAATGCACGGGGTACGCCGGCAACAAGATCTGCGACGGGAAGTGCAACAACCATGCCTGCGGCTGGGACGGAGGGGACTGCTCCCTCAACTTCAACGACCCCTGGAAGAACTGCTCCCAGTCGCTGCAGTGTTGGAAGTACTTCAATGACGGAAAGTGCGATTCCCAGTGCAACAACGCCGGCTGCTTGTACGATGGCTTCGACTGCCAGAAGGTGGAAGGGCAGTGCAAGTAAGTGACCTGGGCCCCATCCCGCAGCCCTGTCAAGCTATGATCTCTAGGCTTATGGACAACTGCGCCCTTTGTATTTAACAGTGCTTTGCCTCTCCCTATTGTACATCACGTGGGGCCAAATCTCAAGCAATGGCAGCATCCGTTGACCTCCATGGGAGTTGGCTCTGTGGGTTTGGCTCTTCCTGACTGCCTTATATGCATGCCCCCATAGCCCCTGCTGGCTTCCTTGCTTGCATCCTTGCCAGTTGTTCATCCTACATAGAAATTCACCCCTCAGGTGTACAGCAGGAGCATGTTGAGTCCTTGAGGACTGGGATGAGAAGGACAGCAAAAAAGCAGTGTGGTGCTCTATGAAATGGGCCTGGAGTTAGTAATACAGGCATTTGCTGGATGTTTGTTTGCAATAGTAGGATTGCTGTTTGGGGTAATTGTAATCTGCTCCCTGAAAGTGCTCCCATCAGTCATGGCCTTCACTCCCTGTCCTGAATTGCTGCTTGCAGTATAACTGCTATGACATTTCACCCCAGGGGTGGTTGCTTTTCTGTGTTGCAAAAAGCAGTTTCCTTCTTGGTCAACTGTCCAGGATCTAACGGGGGGAGGAGTGCTGCAGCTATGGGAGAGGGATCCCTAGATCGCTGGTCGTTCTCCTCCTGGGTGGTAAGAAGAGCGGCTGTATGTCTAATGTATTCTCTCCCTTCTGCCTAGCCCTCTGTACGACCAGTACTGCAAAGATCACTTCTCAGATGGGCACTGTGACCAGGGGTGTAACAATGCCGAGTGCGAGTGGGACGGGCTGGACTGTGCCAACAACATGCCGGAGAAACTCGCTGATGGCACGTTGGTTGTGGTGGTGCTGATCACCCCGGAGAACCTAACGAACAACTCCTCCCACTTCCTTCGGGAGCTCAGCCGCGTGCTCCACACCAACGTGGTCTTCAAGAAGAACGCCCAGGGCGAGTATATGATCTTCCCCTACTATGGCAATGAGGAGGAGCTGAAGAAGCATCACATCAAGAGGTCGACAGACAACTGGTCAGACATGCCCAGCGCTGTCTTCAACAAGCTGAAAACATCCCTCTACTCCAGTGCTGGCAGGAGGCAGCGGAGAGAGCTGGATCAGATGGACGTCAGAGGGTGAGGGTGCTGGGGAAAAGGTTTTTCTCTCCTCCGGCTGAACAACAGTCCCTTTGCTTTATTGATACCCATCACCTGCTGGAAAGGAAAGACTGTGGGTCAGGGTGTTTTACTGTGGTTTTGCTTTAAAGAGGAGCCAAAACTAGATTTCCCTTCTGCAAGGGAGAAGTCATGACAAGGGAGAAAGTGGGGCAAGTTTCTGGTTGGCTGGTGCCACTACTGCTGCAAAGAGCAAAACTAAGGGAGTGTTGTATGCTAGGGGTCAGGGCAAGGGAGGCCATGGACTGGAGGTCAGGCATAGGCCGCCCTCTGCCTTTGCTTAGGAAGTCAGGTGCTTGAGCCTTGTATTGTGCATGAGTCATACTGGCTCTCAGGTTGTGTTAGGAGGTTGAATTGCTACCCAGTTGTAAACCCGGGGGGGGATCCTTGGTTTGACTGCAAAGAACCTAGTTCTCCTCTCACTCATGCTGGCGTGGATCAAAAGTGGCTAAATCCAATGGTGTTGCAATGCTGCAGCACGGGGGCAAGAAGAGACGCTGGCCCCATGCAGCAGCTGCATTTACCACGAAGGATCTCCTCGTGGTGTTGAGCATAGACACGTGGCTGAATCCCAGCGCCCTCAGTCAAATACCAGCTGAGCTGTCATCAGTGAGAGTTTTGCCTAAGTTAGGCCTGGAGGATTTAAGCTGATCACGAGTCAAAAAACTTCCCACCTTCCCTCTCCTTCTCCTGTGGGGAGACTGGAGCCGGGCCCTTTCTTCAGTCTAATCCTTGCTCCTTGTCTCCCTTTCCCCTTCTGCCCAACAGCTCCATCGTCTACTTGGAGATCGACAACCGTCAGTGCATCCAGTCCTCTTCCCAATGCTTCCAGAGTGCAACCGATGTGGCAGCTTTCCTGGGTGCCTTGGCCTCTCTCGGCAATCTGAACATCCCCTATGAAATACAGGCTGTTAAAAGTAAGTGTAGCCAGCAGCGGCTGGAGGGATTGAGACGGGAAGGACCGAAACTTCCCAGCGCACGTCCGCGATCCAATTAGCAGCCAGCCGAGCTCAGCGCGCTGTATCCAGAGAGTCTGGATTTAATAACCTTGACTCTCTCTCTATCTCTATCTCTTTTTTTTTTTTTTTTTTTTAAACTATGTTAATAAACTATTGCTGCATTATGTTTTATTTTGCTTAGTCCAGGTTTACTTGAAAATCATTAGGGCTATAAAAGACAAAAAAAAATCCCAGCTCCAATCAATGAGTGACATGCCAGGAGTTGAAGTTTGTATCTTGAAAATCCCCCTAAATCCTTCTGCCTTAACAGCTCAATGCGAGAGCAGTGATTTGAAGTTGGTTAATCCTTTTCCTGAAAGGAGAAAAAAAAGTGAAGCTGTCTCCTGATGCAGCCAGCTTGTGCGAAGGAGAATTTGCCGATAGTTAGCAATTCTGATTAATAGCCTATAAAATGACCTTATTTTGGGGGATGATTTAGATCTGCCCAAGGTACCTTTATTTAACTAATTTCACTTCATTTTCACTCCATCACCGGTTTGATATGCAGCTTAATGTCTCAGTTTCTCTGGGCGCCCCATTCTTTTCTAGGTGAAACAGCGGAGCCCCCCAGGAACTCCCAGCTGTATCCTATGTATGTGGTGGTGGCTGCGCTCGTCTTGCTTGCCTTCATTGGAGTGGGAGTGCTGGTATCTCGGAAGCGACGCAGGGAGCATGGGCAGCTCTGGTTCCCAGAAGGCTTCAAAGTGACAGAGTCAAGCAAGAAGAAGCGACGAGAACCGCTGGGAGAGGATTCTGTCGGGCTGAAGTGAGTAATCTTATTGCTAACCTGTTACTGCGGAGCCCAGCTAGTGATACAGCACTGCTTTGAAGGAACCTTTAGAGCCGATCCTTGACAATCCAGTGGGGTAGGGGAAGATTATAGCAAGGTTGTTGCAAGGAGAGAACAACGCACTTGTTTTCTGGGGATTTTAATACTAGGCAATCAGTGTGCCATTAGTTAAACTCCAGAGAAGCTTTGTGGCAGGGAGCAATTCTTGGAAATTGCCCTGCTGATTGCTGCTTTTTGTGTGTGCATGTGGAGGATCGGCTCCATCATACCACAGCTGTGACAGAAGGTTCACTTCTGAAGGGTTTTCTTATTTAATTTAGACCTCTGAAAAATGCATCGGATGGCACCTTGATGGATGATAACCAGAACGAATGGGGCGATGAGGAGACCTTGGACACCAAGAAGTTCAGGGTGAGTTAATAAAACTGCTTCTCATGCAGCAGTGAGTGCAGCACACCCACGGTCCCAGCTGTGGAGCGGGGCTGAGAAGTCGCAGAATGGCTCACTGCGAGGGCCGCTGGCCATGCCGCTCCCTTCTTCCCAAGGGTGCAAATGCAGCCGCAGGTCTCCCCAAGCTCTGGTTTTAACCCCACTTCTTCCACATTCTTTTTCATTGTCCTTGAAGTCCTCGTACCACAGTTTGATTTAAATTTCATTGTCCTTGAAGTCTGTGCCCTTCTGTCCCTTTGCAGTTCGAGGAACAGGCGATGCTGCCAGACATGGATGATCAGACAGATCACAGGCAGTGGACCCAACAGCACCTAGATGCAGCTGACCTCCGGATTTCCTCCATGGCACCCACCCCGCCGCAGGGAGAAATCGATGCAGACTGCATGGATGTCAACGTGCGAGGGCCCGGTAGGGGAGAGCCTTATGTCTTCCTGCCACGTTGGTTTCATGTCCCTTGTTTCCCGCAGCGAGGGGGCCTCTGGGAGCTGTACCGCACACCACGCTGTCACGTTGCATGCTAATGCCTGCCTGTGCATAAGCTAACATAAAGTGCCCCACCTGGGAGTCTTTCCAGGTCATATCTGTTATGCCTGAGTTCAGGTAACTTGCCTCTGTGGAATTTGGCTTGCTTTAAGATCTCTTTCTATTTAACCACAAAGAGGGAAGTCAGACAGCCCGAGAGGTTAGGGACGTGGAGGAAATACCTTTTAGCTGATCCAATCCATGTCTTTGCCAATACAGGATTCTTCCCCATAGGATGTGTCAGGGTGTTTTCTTGCCTAGTCAAGTTTAACCATTCCAAGCACCCCTGCCTCCTTGGGAAATGTATTTCATAGCCAAACTGTCCTGGCAGACCTCTGAATTTCAGCACTCTTCTGCATGGCACCTTCCAGATAAAAGGGGCTACATAGTGCTTGAGGGAAAGGCATCCAAGACTCCCAGGTAAAACAGGGAAACCTATGAGTGGATACAGAAGGAGGATTACATCCACACCCGTGTGAGAGGATGTTTGAGATTGTCAGGACCCAGAGCTCGCTGTGCCATGAGCTCAAGATGCTGCTGCTTATGCCTCATGGCTGCATTAAAACATCTTGTTGGAATAGTCTGCACTGGAGAAGGGCAAAGAGCTGCTGTTCATTGCGTTCCTCTCTGCTTTCCAGATGGCTTCACCCCACTTATGATAGCCTCCTGCAGCGGAGGAGGGCTGGAGACTGGCAACAGCGAAGAGGAGGACGATGCGCCGGCCGTCATCTCAGATTTCATCTACCAGGGCGCCAGCCTGCACAACCAGACAGACCGTACTGGGGAGACAGCGCTGCACCTGGCTGCCAGGTACTCCCGCTCCGATGCTGCCAAGCGCCTGCTGGAGGCCAGCGCCGACGCCAACGTCCAGGACAACATGGGCAGGACGCCTCTCCACGCAGCTGTCTCAGCGGATGCCCAAGGAGTCTTCCAGGTATGTCAGCCTGCTGGGGACTTCTACTGGGGTTCCCGAGCTGCTGGGTCATGTACCAGCGCTGTATGCTGGCCGTCAGCCCTGTGACATCTGTTTGTTCATCTTGCCCCAGAGTCTGTGCCCTGGCTTTTCAGAGGCAGCATTGATTTCCCTGGGAATTCTCCTGAGTCTGGGTCGTAGGATTTGCTGAGATACTGAGTGCTAAGGGGACAGGTCCAGGGCAGTGTCCGGAGCCCCCTTATTAACAGGAGGACAGGTAGAGCATGGCAGGATGGTGCTTTCTCAGTGCTGTCCTGCTAATGTGCTCTTT